GGTGGAGCAGAGGAGGCGGGACAGGGAGGGAGGGAGGAAGTGGGGGGGCGGGCCCGGGGGCGGAGTCACGCCCGCTTAGACCCTCGCGGGAGGGAGACCCAGGTGCCCTCAAGTTCCTGCCTGATGTTTGGAGCTACTTCCAAGCTAGGTGTTTTCTAGATGGGTCCGATTGAGGTGAGTCGGCCTCAGGTATTCTGAAAAGAAGAACTCGGATTGTATTAAATGTGGAGTTCGTTACGCAGTTTGTAACGATTTATTATTTTGAGTGGTCAAGGAAGACTACGTATCTTGACTAACAGCCCAACTTTGATAAGTAAGAAAGAGACCCAGAGGTTTTTCTGGATTACCACCGTCATTGTCTCGGGCAAAATACTCCGAGCTCTGCTGGTCCTAATCACGATGATATCCTGATGGTGGTTTGTTCTCATCTCGATACCGTATTGTTATGTTTTTAAGGTTCCTGCCGCAGTGTGGACAGGAGCGGTTGGTGGGCATTAGAGACTGTTAGGTTACTTCATTCTGCCTTTGCAGGTTGCTATATGCCAGCTCTGTGATCCCAAAAAGCTACTTCTCCAGACTTCAGTGTGCTTGTGGGCAAAATAAAGACCTTCATAGGTTATGGAATATGTTAGGACTGTTCCTGTTATACAAATACTCTTACTAGGCTGGTATTTAAGGCAAGTAATCTTGCCCTACTGAAACATTTCTTCCTCTGTGTACCTTGCAGATAATTGCTCTTCCATCTGGACCATTATCTCCGTGAAGCAACCTCACTTCCTCATCAGCTTTGGGACCATTATCTTTGATAATTCTTTCTAAACACCTATCCTCACTCTGTAACTACTTAGATGCCCTACCACCTTGCCTTTTTGATGACTTACTTTGGCTGTTACAAATTACCACAAATTTAACAGATTGAACCAACATAAAGTTACTGGATTTGTGGAAAATATTCCTTTTTTATTTGTGGATGTGTGCTGCACGCCATGTGTGCACAAGCCTGTGTGGAGGCTAACAGCAAAATTACAGTTATGAAATAGCAATAAAAATAATTTTATGGTTGGGGTCACCACAACATGCGGAATTGTATTCAGGGGTTGCAGCGTTAGGAAGGTTGTGAAGCATTGGGTTGGGGTGTTGCTGTATAGCTGCCCACCTTTGTTTTTGAGTCAGGTCCTCCCACTGATCCTAGAACTCAATGTTTGGCTGTCCTTCCCCAGAAGCATCCTCTCCATCCCACCAGCACTAGTTACAGGTATGCACTTCCATGCCCAGCTTCCACTAGGGTGATGGGGATCTGAACAAAGGTTCTTACATTTCCACAGCTAGCACTTTACCCACTGAGATATGTCCCCCAGCCTCTGTTCAATCTTATTGAAGTAGGATTGGCTGTTTAAAGGGCTATTTCCTTCTGAAGACTCTAAAGAAGAATTTGTTTACTTGTTTTTTCCAACTTTTAGTGGTTGCCTCATTCTTTGGCTCATGTCCACATCTTCCATGTTCAAAATCAGTATCAGAGCATCGTGCAATCTCTTCCCCTGTTCAGGGGAGACAAGGAGAGATAGAATCAGGTGCTTAAGTGAAAGAATCCCCTTGAAGATTACAAAGCCTTATTATCTGATCCAGAAAGAAAGTGAAGATAGGTCTAGATAGTGATATGTCTATGGTTTCAGTGATCAAAAGAGATAGGAGCCCGATAAGGAGAGGTCTGTGTTCTCAAGAAGGAAGATCTGAGGTCATAATGAAGAATGGAGACCAGGAGATGGCGTTTTTATGAGCAATACATATTTAAAGCAGAGCTTCTGGGAACTGAACTTGTAGAAGAAGCACAGGGAAGATTTTTCAAGTCATTCTTGGAAAAATTTTGGACTCCAGAAAAAGACTGTCCAACACAAGCGACCATCAAATATGTAAAACATATACTTTACATATTAAATAGAAAATAATGATGTCCTGTGCTACTGGGGCTTTACTCACACACACTCAAAGTGCAAGGTACCTTTGTAGTCCTGAAAATAGAAAATAAGCTAAGCTTGGTTGCACACATAAAATCCTAGCACTCAGAGACTGGGGCAAATGGATCTCCTTGAGTTTGAGTTACAAACTGCGCTACATAGCAAGACCCTGTCCCAAATTTAAGACAGAAAATAGGAAATATAGTGATAGCACTATATCCGCACACGAAATATGTTGTTTTCTAATAGTTTAGCAGTAAAATTTTCTCCCCTCCCCCCCAAAAAAACCCTTACACTGGTGTCAAATGTCTGAAGCAAATTTTTAGAACAGAATTGTCCTGCCTAAGGGTAATGATGGGCCCTTCCATTAAGGCCTTCTGCTCTAGCTCCCATGGGTGGTTGACAAGCCCATACTTAGGAATGGCTTGAAATCCTGTGGTATAAATAAATATATTCTGGTGTGAACAGTTTTTGATGCTACATTAATGTGGGAGGTTTTCTTTCTATCCATTTATCTGAGTGTTTTGCCTGGTTGTATATATATGCGCTACATGCTTCGTAGTGCCTGTGGAGTCAGAAGAGGGTGTCAGATTCTCTGGAACTGGAATTACAGATGGTTGTGAGCCACCATGTGAGTGCTGGAAACTGAACCCAGGCCCTCTGCAAGAAGAGTAAGTATTCCCAACCATTGAGTCTCCTAAGTCTCCAGTCTCCTAAGGTATTTTTAAAATCAGTTTAGAAAACTGTGATCTTTTGAAATTGTACACTATACATGATGGAATGCTTTAGAAATTGTTATGTTGTTATGTTAAGAAAAATGTTTCCATGCTAAAATACACCAAAGACAGTGTGTGTTTGTGTGTGTCAGAGAGACAGAGAGGCAGAGAAAAAGGAGAGAATGTTCACATGAGCCAGTCTATATAGAGGCGCATACTTTATGACTCATTACTACCTTTCAGCTCTAATCCTCATTCTTCTTTTCCTTTTTTTATTTGAATTAGAAACAAGATTGTTTAACATGTCAATCCCAGTTCCAATTCCCTTCCCTCCTCCCCTGCCACCCTCCCCCATCTAAAACCCTACCTATCACATATCCTTTCTGCTCCCCCTGGATGGTGAGGCCTTCCATGGGGGGGGGGGG